CCCCCCCCCCCCAATTTCCTTAAAAGCGAGCGTCATCTTTTGCTATTACCCGCTCAGTTCAAGCTTTCCTCAGCCAACTTTCGTTTTACGCTCCGGTTTGTTTGTCAGGCGCTGAGTTTATCGGGGATGTTAGGGGTCCGCCCACCGCTGCCGTCGGAGCCTGTGGGCCGCGGGGGCGGGACCGGGGGGGGGGGGCTCAGTGCACTTTACGGTGACCCGCCGTCCTGGTCGTCACGGACACTGGCTTTTTATGTATTTTATATTTATTATATATAGATGTATTTCAGAATTTCAAAATAATGTGATTATCTTTCAGATTAATTCAGGTGCTCCATCGATCATATTACAAGTCCCCCCTATCACTTTGAGATCAGGAAAATCAATGTAATTTTAAATCCCATCTATTTTAAAGATATGGACTCCAGTACTTAAATAGGAAAAATATCAGATGTTATTGGAGCTAAGGCACTGGTTTGAGGAGATAAACTTATATGAGGATGTTAATTTAACAAACAAAAAGACAGCATATAGCATGAACCGGACACGGAATTACATATACTCCGGGAATTATAGCAGTGACTGACAGTGAGCGAAATATTTCTGTAGACATGGAGCTTATATTTTATTGGGGGGAACAGCAAAACAAGAGAAACTGCGTCATGTGCTCGGGGCTAGGAAGTCCACTGAAACACGGATAGGTGATCTTTCTACTTTATTTTATTGATCGATTTATTTACTTTTTCTGGTTAGGTGATATTTTTAAATGGCATGGCCATGGAATGGAAGGCTTTGCGGATAAGGCGATGAGTGGGGAAGAAAATTGAGAGAGTGCCAAGTAGAAGGGAGACCAGGAAGGAGAGCTGGAGGTGGCAAGGAGTTGCTGTGGCTGCACCCAGGGAGCAAAGGGGAGAAAGTCCGGAGTCGAGCAGTTCCCTCAGGTCCTGCAGACCAACCTCTAACTGAACACAGGGGCTCACTGTTCGGAGTAACAGAACCGAAGAAACACAAGTCTTGTTGAAAGAAAACGGTTTTATTATTTATTTACTTATTTTAAAAATATACTTTATTGGTTTTTTACAGAGGAAGGGAGAGGGATAGAGAGGAACATGGATGAGAGAGAAACATCGATCAGCTGCCTCCTGCACACTCCCTGCTGGGGATGTGCCGGAAACCAAGGTACATGCCCTTGACCAGAATCGAACCCGGGACCCTTGAGTTTGCAGGCTTATGCTCTGTCCATTGAGCCACACCGGTCAGGGCCCATTTTATTTTTTACTCGTGACAAGTGCAGGGGGCAGGGCAATCATTTCCAAAGCTGTGCCTGGGGAGGGAGGCTTAGCCATGGCTATTACACGATTTTGTCAGTTACATGTTGATTTCTAAACCAGGATAACTACATGTTGGTTTCTTCCTTGTGGTGGGCTAACCTCATCCACATTGAAGGATATTCTCATAGTTACCAAGAGTCACATGTAGTAAGAACAGCCCAGACCTGAGGCCCTTGTTCTAACAGTTTCTCCCTGAGGAATTTGCAGAAAACACAGAACTATGATCCTGGTTGACAGGTGTGGGGAAATGCCCTCCGCAAGGAGGAGGCAATAAAATTGGAACTTCGCTCCGGGAAGGAGTGGATGTTAGAGCGCGGGAAGATCGCTCTGGGGCTCCAGCCATGGGTATGCATGTCCTCCCCAGATGCACCCAGGCACCTCCCATGTTTTACAGGCAACTCCAGGGGGTTCCCAGGCCTGGAGCCCAGGGTGGGACTCCGCTTCAGAGCCCCGTGTCCCCAGCTGGCTTTCCTCTTCCCGTGGCTTCCCCAGCTTCTGATTCCAGAAGATGGACCTTGAGAACACAGACCTCTGTCTAAGTCTGTTATGGAAAGATTGACAACCTGGCGGCCAAAGCAATCTCATCCAGGAGGCACCTGCTCCTTACGGCACCCAGCCCCTGTCACCTGTTCTCTGGTCCCGGGTGCCCCCAGGC